GCTGGAAGCCGTGCGCCACTGCTACGGCTGCGGCGTGGTGCACCGGGACATCAAGGACGAAAACCTGCTGGTTGACCTCAGGACAGGCGAGCTGAAGCTCATCGACTTCGGCTCGGGGGCCCTCCTCAAGGACACGGTCTATACCGATTTCGACGGTACGTGCCCTTCCCGCGCCCGGTTTGGCCAGACCCCCGCGCCCCTCCCGGGGTGGTGCCCTCCCTGTGAGCTGCCGCTGCTCCCCTTTCTGGCGCCCGGCAGTAGCGAGCGGTGCCTCTGACGCACAGAGGTTCATATCAGGTCTATCGGTAATGGAAACCTTTGGACCAGAGGCAGCTTGGGGGTGTTCTGTTGCGTAGCAAAGAAGCGATTCCAGGCAGTGACGCAGCAGTTTATGTTTCCCTGTCTTGGAAAAAGTGGGGTTTTATTCCTAGAGGGCGATCTGTTTACATGGAGGCTTCGCCTGTGTCGGATGTTTCCATGTGTGGATATGCAGTTTTTTGTATGCGGTGGTTTTTTTAACTTGAAGCGGCAGCTCCCCTCCTCCCTTCCCACCGATGTCCTGGAAATCCCGCATTGCAGATTTTAAAGCGATGGGGATAAATACCTTCCCTGGACATGACTCGATACTGGTTTCGGGGCCGGGCTCGGCGCTTTAGAGATGAGAAAGCCGAGAAATAATCCTGCGTGTGGCGGGAATGACTGTTTCCCCCACTCCTTTGCGTGTGACTGATGTGACGGGGGCCTCTCCCCTTCCCAGCTGCCGCACTCACATCTGTTTGTTGTGAAACCCGAAGCCCCGCCGCACGTGACCCGCAGCATCACACATTCCCGGTTTTGTTTGGTATCCAAGGAGCCCGCGGGCACGGGGCGGGGGGGAGGCGGGTTGGGAAAAGCTGCCGCAGAGGAGCTTGAAGCGGGGCAGGGAGCCTTAAAAAATGTAAAAATCGTAAGCGGTCCTATTTTGTTTACTGCTTTGCGGAATTGGATAAAGCAGATTAGCCCCGTGTAATGCGGGCAGACCCGGGTTTCACCTTCTTGCCGTCCTCCCGTCCCCTCCCCGCCAGCCCCCTTTGTCCTTTTGTGTCTATTTTTGGTGCGATGCTGCAGACGCCACGTGGTCAGTGAAAGGGAGCCTGCTTCAGTAAACAGTCAGCTGATGGGGCTGTGTTATTCCTTGGAACAAAATAGCACCACCGGGTGGGCCAAGTCTGTTGATGGTGTAATACCGTGGGTGACCTGAAATTACACCACTAATGGCGTTGGCCCATAAGAAAGGGTTTTGGTTTTGGTTGGTTTTTTTTAACGCCCAAATGACAAGTTCAGAAATTTACTTACCTGTATTAGGAGCTGAACAATAGGAAAACACTCTAAACCTTGACTTCATTTTTTTGTTTGTTTTTTTTCCTTGCTTTTAGGAACAAGAGTATACAGCCCTCCAGAGTGGATCAGATACCACAGATACCATGGGAGATCAGCAACAGTATGGTCTCTGGGAGTTTTACTGTATGATATGGTATGTGGAGACATCCCTTTTGAGCAAGATGAAGAAATCTTGAGGGGACGATTATATTTCAGGAGAAGAATTTCACCTGGTGAGTTGTATAGAGGTCAAGTGGGGGCATTTTTTTCTTTTATTAGTCCTGTATATTTCAACAAGTACAAGGAGGGTTTTTCTTGTTCAAGGTTGTTGTTTTACTTTTCTAGTCTAAAAGTGCTGTTTTTTGTTTGTTACAGAATGTCAACAACTGATCAAATGGTGCCTTTCACTGAGGCCTTCAGACAGACCAACACTTGAGCAAATTTTTGACCATCAATGGATGCACAAATCTGAAGTAGTGAAGTCTGAGGACTGTGACATAAGGCTACGGACCCTTGATACTGATGTATCTAGCACAAGTTCAAGTAATGAGAGTCTGTGAATTACTAAGGACCTCGCACTGGGAGGGGAGCTACAAGCAGAAAGACCACAGTGCTGCTGCCAATACGTAGGAGGGGCTAGAAAAATGCATTCATTATTCTGTAGTTGAATCTTTGTCTGAGGGAATTGATTTTTATTTTCCCCCTTTGCTGGTTTCTGCTTTGGAATGAGAGTTTTCCTTTGGAAACGCTAATGTTTGGGAGTTGCAGGCCAGTACTTAGTCAAAGACTGACCTTGTTAAGAAAGCAGTGACCTCTTGAATACATGGTAAACTTTTTTGCTCTCATAGAGCCTGGACTAGATTTTATTTGCTTTTGAGTGCCTTTTTGAAAGCTGCTTCAGTGGGACTTTCTTTTTTGAGCTGTGTATGTCCAAAGAAGATCCAGTTCATTATAGGAATTTGCTCCCTTTAGACTCTGTGCTGGAGGAAGCAGCTCCTATGATGCATTGGAGAACATGTTCGGTGATTGAATGAAGTAGTCCCATCCACTGGTGATGGAATACTTGAACACAGACATTTCACTCCTGTCCCCAGCCCTTTCCAAATCCAACCCACCTCTGCTGCTCAAAATATTTCCTATAGCCTGCACAGAAATATGAACAGGTATATCAGCTTTTTTATCAGAAACATTTTTTCATGTTTCCTTTTATCATCTCTACCACTGGGCATGAGAAGCCCCTTTCTCAACTCCCCCTGGCCTTTTGTCACCCTGCGAGTCTTAAAGTATGTATGGGCATGTTGAATGCACAATCAATGCAATATTCAAGGACTTTTTTTCCATACCTGTATAATGTGTTTATGTAAACTTGGTTTTTCCCATGTACTATACAGTTATTTATTGTTTGGAGTTTAGAAGACCTCCCACAGGTTTCAGCTGTGGCTATTTATTTGGTTAATTTATTTGGTTAGAGTTACTCAACACTGTGCTTTCCCCTCCTTCTCCCCATGGGAATTCTAGTGGTTTGCCCATGGCACTTTTTTTCTGCATTCCTGTCAACTTTTGTTTAAAAAAAAAAAAAAAAACATAGAAAAAAAAGAAATTTTCTGACCTTATCAAATTTTTGTTGGAAGATGGAAAATTGTTGTACAAAGTCTAATTTAAGGGAAATAGAATGACCTTTTGAAGTTAGTATGCCTTTTGTCTGGTATTATTGTACCAGAAATGTAAAGTAATGCTGTTTGGAAGGGTTTTAAATTATTGACATTGTACAGTCTCCGTGCATTGGCTCTGGAAGGTAGAGTGGCAGAGTCATAAACCTTAATTTATTTTAATAGCTGTGTTTCTGTGATCTGGTTGCATTTATGCAGCTTGGATTTGGATTTTTTTTCTTCTGTTTAACAGTGTGAAATGTATGGAGATCATATTTTTTATACAGGTATTTCAATTAAACTTTTTTTGTATATAATGTTTTTGTGTTTGTGTGATCACTTTTATTTCCACCATTACTCTTGATGCCAGCTGGGGAACACGGGGCAATTCTGTTACCTTCTGCAGCTTGTAAAGACCTGCAGCATCTCACGTGGAGTTGACAGGTCTGTGCCATTAAGCAGTGGCCATTTTAGAAGAATTAAGCAATCCCCCACCTTGCCTGTGTCTAGTTCTCCATATTTTCTGACCTTATCAAATTTTTGTTGGAAGATGGAAAATTGTTGTACAAAGTCTAATTTAAGGGAAATAGAATGACCTTTTGAAGTTAGTATGCCTTTTGTCTGGTATTATTGTACCAGAAATGTAAAGTAATGCTGTTTGGAAGGGTTTTAAATTATTGACATTGTACAGTCTCCGTGCATTGGCTCTGGAAGGTAGAGTGGCAGAGTCATAAACCTTAATTTATTTTAATAGCTGTGTTTCTGTGATCTGGTTGCATTTATGCAGCTTGGATTTGGATTTTTTTTCTTCTGTTTAACAGTGTGAAATGTATGGAGATCATATTTTTTATACAGGTATTTCAATTAAACTTTTTTTGTATATAATGTTTTTGTGTTTGTGTGATCACTTTTATTTCCACCATTACTCTTGATGCCAGCTGGGGAACACGGGGCAATTCTGTTACCTTCTGCAGCTTGTAAAGACCTGCAGCATCTCACGTGGAGTTGACAGGTCTGTGCCATTAAGCAGTGGCCATTTTAGAAGAATTAAGCAATCCCCCACCTTGCCTGTGTCTAGTTCTCCATCAGTGTATTTGATGTTGAACTGGAGAATGTGTACAATACAACAGCACTAATGGCCTACACAGAGAGGAACTGACCAGCAATTGTGGGGTTTTTAACTGTAAACGTTCAATAACTGAAACACCACTGTTCCCATTGTCCTGAAGTCTAACAAGGATTTTTGTATTCACTGGCGGTTACTGTTTTCAGAGTTGACATGTTTACTTTCCATTACATTCAACTTACTTCCTCTTGCTTACTCCTTCCTCCTGGGGGTGGGTGAGGGGTGTCCTGTGCTCCTACAGGAAAAGGACAGCATTCTTGGGAGAGTGGGGTGTCTGTTTTCCTTCAGCTGCCTTAGGTTATCAGAAAAGACCAGTGAGACAGTTTAAAGGACTGGGGAACCTCTGCTGTTCTCATCCATAGTAAAGGGCAAGAGAAATGTCCTCTGTCTTGTTGCATTGAGAATCCAGTCCTGCAGATTACTGAGTTCATCCTAGTTTCTCTGCAGCTATAGACTGACCTGGCTTGGTCTTGTTTGCGGGGGTGGTAGCGATTACTAGGTTTAGCTACCACAGAGGGATCTATGTGGTACATTTAAGGAAGCATTCAGTTATTAAAGGTGTTTTGTAGTAGTCACAGCAAAGGGCTATGCTTAGAATCTGTTGGTTTTATGTTATTTCCTTTTCTGGGGATCTTTCTGCCAGCTCATCTACTATTATTTTGGTTCCCTGTGGGGAGTATCTCACTTGCTGACATCACATCAAGCTCCTGATACTAACCAGTTTAGACTCGAAATGCCACTGAATAGCAGGAGGTAAAGCAGAAAGGGAAAGACCATTTTTGTGTGCACAGTCTTCTGGTGACATGGAGGGAAGATGCATGGCCTCAAAAAGGAAATCCAAATAACTGCACAAAAAAACTGCACACAATCGTGTCCATCAATTTTCCTGTTTTCTGGTTTTGAACCTCTTTCATTTTAGACTTGTTTCTCCAGTCTGTACATATGCTAGTCTCCCTGGGAAACACACACACGAGAAAATGCCTATTGTTGGAACTCTATTCACAGAAATAGAAGAGTTTACAGTTAGGATTTCTTAGGAAAATCACACAATCATAGTCTTAAGAGAAGAATGCAATTTGGGAATGTTAACTGATTATCTCTTGCTTAAGAGGAGGGACACAGATAAGCTAAGGAGAACCCTGCCCCTAGTGCAGTTCTTTAGGGAAGCACGTTTCTAACCACAAGTAGTCCCTGGAGAAATTCCAGTAGCTGATGATAATTAACATCTTCCACTCCAGTGGCTTCGCATGCTCGCAGCTGTTGAGAGGGGTGGTAGTGAGGCCATACGAGGGAGCTTCAAAGGGCTACCAGAAAAGCAACTCTAAAAATACATTTGTAAAGCTATTGTTGGTTGCTGAACTAGGGACTTTCATCGTTTCCACAGGACCGTATGTTACTTTCCTTAGCTTCACAGAGAAATGCTGTTGAAGCGATCTGTTTTGCAACAGAAAAACTAGGTTTTCACCTTTTGCTACTGAAGCAAAATGCATTAAAAGGATAAAGGTCAAAAGGACACGGGTGCGAGTGCTGACTCCCCTCTGGGATTAGTTCAACATAAAAGGTACACTTTCAGTACTGCACAGGCAGCTTTAGTTGTAAAACTCCCCTGTACACTAATAGAATCCACGTGGCTGAAACACCATATACCGAAAGTAATGATTTGTAAAAATACCTTTTCATTACAGTTGAAAGTTGGAAAATGATGTGTTAATATAGTTCCATTAGCTGAGCGTTGCTGTCAAAATGAGCAAGTCAGTGACAGCTCTTGGTTTTTCCTGCCCTTCTATCTGTTATTTTAATATCATTAAATGCTACTTCTCTGGGATCCTCCTCTTCATGCTTTTTCCACGCTAGGCTGGTTTTCAACAGCATAAAGCTTAAGCAGAAGTCTAAAGATAATTCAAAATACTGCCATTTAAATCACAGCCTGTTTTAGCCTTGACAAATTGATTTAGCTATGATCATACCTGTGCATCTATGTATGCTACTGGGTTGATAACAAGTATTTCAAATATATTCTTATGCTGAAAGATCTTTAACAATATAGTACTCTGTGTAATTAATCTCCTTAATAAAACTCATTCTCCTGTGTGCATAAGTATACACTTGTTTATTTTTACTTAACTAAGCTTGTATTTACTGAAGCAGCTGAACAAGAGCCCTTTGTACAAAACTGTCAAAAGGATGTTAGAGGGATTGACAAGGGTGTGTTCTCACCAAACACTTATGGTTCTCTTTCAGTGGTTTACTGACCTCTGTTGGTGAAATTAAAGTATATGTTCCAAAAATAATAATGCATAAATTGGGAAGGCATATTTTAAAACACTGCCGAGTGATATTTTCAGATACAGAAGAGCATGGCTAATACTTAAATATCCCACAGTGTTTTAAAGGCTACAATTACAGAAAAAAGAAAGAAAAAACAAAGAGGAGGGGAGAGGAGGAAGAAAAAAAAAAAAAAGAAATTAAGATACTGCAGATATGAAAATACCTTTTTAATAAATATGGCAGATGGGAGTATTTATTCAAAAGATCGTTCACTCTGCATCTGAAGTCACAGAGGCAAACTGCCGAGTGAGTCCCCAGTCACTTACATGACTTTTGGCATGAGCATTTATGAGCATATTAGCCCTCATTCTTCCACTCCATTTCAGTCACAATGAGAAGCACTTTTCTTCTGGCATACAGATGGGTAATAATTCTCAGCAGTGTAACCAGATAACAGCACATTGTGGCCCTATCAGCTTATTCTTAGTGGGATTATTTTTCTACTAACAGCAGTGATGCTACTGTTGGTGGCAGAAGTCAAGATGGTGGCTTTTAATTTCATTACTATTCACAGTTTTTCTGATACTGTATGGAAGTTTGCTCTGCTTGTAAATTTGAAACGGCTTAGTTTCATGGTTATCTGTAATTTTAAAAAATAATATGCTTTTGCCTAAGGGGTTCCTTCAGGTAGCTGATATACCAGAGACATATTAAGCTTTGGTTAAATTGCAGACTTCTAAACAGAGTGATTGGGCCACAAACACATGCATCCAAAAATAATTTTAAATTCAGACAGAATTCCTAATTATTTTCAAAGAATGCTTGTCTCAAAACAGGGGAGTGCTGACCCATCTCATATAAACTATAGTAGTACCTAGAAAGGTTGGACTGGATGATCCTTAAGGTCCCTTCCAACTTGGCATTCTACAATTCTATAAAAACTGATGGATTCATGTGGATCAATAAAAAATATAGGAATACAGACATGCCAAGCTTTATTTCTGCTGAAGAGACGTTACACTAGAGAACCCCAAACA